TCTATTAATAAAATATAACTCTTCTGACCTTTGTGGCAACATTAACTTGAAGTCATAAAATCCTAGGTTGAAATCTAACTATACTTTTCATTAATAATATGGCTACAGACAAATTTGTTGATCTCCTTACATAGCACTTTCTTTTAAAAATGGGAATAATAATGCCTGCCCGTTTTTTGGCTGAAATCTTTTAACTGCTACATGGATATGATGGCCAAGAGCTCTGTACATAGTACTACAAGTTTTAAAAATAAAAGACAAGAAAAATATCCATTATTACATATGAAGCACATGGAGAAACTGAGCACCAGTCTAATAACAATTTGAAACAATACTAGGATGATACTTTAAAACAAGCTTTTGGGTATTAAAACAAAACCATATTCACTTGATGTGAGCCAAAAGGTCAGGAAGCAACTCAAAACCACATTTCAATGCAAGTACTTCCAAATGAGGATAAGCAAATCAACATTCACTTTAAAAGCAGCAGAAAACTTAGCTTCTTCATAATATACTAACTGAAAAGAAACCATTGCCTGGTGAGATGGCTCAATGGGTAAAGGTGCTTGCCACCATGCCTGAAGATTTGAGCTCAATTCCTCAGACCAATATGGTAGAAGGAAAAGCACCAATTCCCACAAGTTGTCCTCTGAACTCCTACACACAACCATGGCCATGTGTGCATCCACACACATCTACATGCACACAAACTAAATAAAAATTAATAAAAAAAAACAGAAATCATAATCAAAACAGTTTAGTACTAGTGGAAAATGGACAAAATATACTGAAAGTATTTCATTACACCAAAACGTTTTAGTACCTTCAACTACACAAATTCAAACTAAGACTATTCAGGCACCAATAAAGTAATGAATTCTGTCAGCAGGTGGCTCTAGTGACACTGAAATGTCAAATACTGTAATAAAGCAAAGATAGAATTGAGTCTCAGTGATTTGAAGAAAGTAGTATCTACTAAAATTTCAATCAGAATATCATTTTGCGAAGATACCAGGTCCATAAGGTCTTACTACCATATTAGTGGCCAAAGAAAACAGAAATAACTTAGCTCTCTCTGTTTAGTACTCTTATTAGTCAACAGTTACTCAGCATCTCCTACACTGCTAGGCATTGTGTAAGAATTCATTTCTTAAGATTTACTTTTATTATTTAAAAATTATGCATATATGTGTATACCTCTGTGTGTATACATTGAGTGCAGGTGCCTATGGAGGTCAGAGGTGTCCAATCCCCTTGGGGCTAGAATTACAGACAGTTTTGATGTGGGTGCTGGGAATCAAACTTGGGTCCTCTACAAAAGCAATAACGTGCTCTTAACCACTGAGCCATTTCTCCAGTCCCAGTAATTCACTTCTAACTCACACATCATATTTTTTAATCTGTTCATTTCATTGAAAAATAAGAATAAGTAATGATTCCTAATAGTACTGAAGAAACTGGGTGCTAATTATTATTACAAGTCGGGGCTGGGGAGATGGCTCAGCTGTTCTGATTCCCAGTACACACATGGTGGTTAACAACTATCTGTAACTCTAGTTCCAGGGGATCCGAAACCCTCTTCTGGTCTCTGCAAAGCATTGTACACATGGGTCCACTTACATAGATGCAGGCAAAACACTCATACACATAAAATAATAAAAATAATAAAATATTTTTTACAATAATTTACACTGCTGGGCATGGTGGCATGTGCCTTTAATCCTAGCACTCGGGAGGCAAAGGCAGGTAGATCTCTGTGAGTTCCAGGCCAGCTGGGGCTACAAGGAGACCCTGTCTCAAATAAAAAAAGAACAACAAAAATAATTATTACAAGAAATATAGTGCTAGTAATCAAGTTTCTAGTTTCTGAAAAGGAAAAATTTGGCTTTTTTAAAAAAATTGTATGTGTATGAGTGTATTGCCTGTATGTACGTAATGCACCTTTGTCATGCAACTCCCACAGAGGTCAGAAGAGGACAATGGATCCCCTGGAACTGGAGTTATGAACACCTGTTAGCTGCCATGTGGGTGCTGGGAATAGAACCTGGGTCCTCTGCAAGAGCAGCCAGTGTTCTTAACCATAAGCCATTTCGCCAGCCCCTAACTTGGCTTTTTTTAAGGCTAGGTAGGAGAAAAATATTAACATATCCTATTTGTACCTCTTCCTACTTTTCAGTTCCAAAAGTACTTCCCTTCTGGTTTTCTTGTTGTTTGTTTTCGGTGATGCTTATATGAAGATTCAGATGGTTGAAATAATGGAAGGAGAAGAGGTTAAAAAGAAACATATTCTATTGCCAAATAACTTCTCTATCTTGTTCAGCTTTTTTATCTTGTTACATAATTTAGTGCCTAGGTTCTTTCCTAAATCTTAATCTTTGAGCAAAAAACACAGATTATTTTACTCAATAGTTTATTGTATTGAACCTACAACTGCTAGAACTGCAGCTACTACTGACATGAACCATAAGCCAGGACAAAATAATTAGGTTACATAACTCATTCTGCTTCAATACTACTACTAAAAAGTGATGTGACAGAAAAAGACTAAAAATCAACAAGCCACTGGGTTCTGCTTCTGCCTCTTATTTGCTGTCTCTTTTTCCTCAGCCTTTCCTTAGTCTTTCCTCAGAATTATAATTATGACCTTACAGGTACAGCCTTATCTTTTGCACTCAGAAAGAAATAAACATATATCCTATTATGACCTGATATTTAGAACTTTCATAACTCGTTTCTTTCTTCTTTTCTCCTGAGATTCTATTATCTTATTTGTCTAGAATTGCTTTATTTACTACAGCACTCACTAGACACATGTTAGCTAATGCGCATTTAAAGTATGTTCTAAGTATAAAAATCCACATAAGATTTCAAAGACAGCATGAACAAAAGGACATAAATGTCTCAATATTTTTAATCCCAATTATGTGAAATAATACTTTGGATATATTCACTTAAGAAATATATCACAAATACATTTTTAAACCCCTTTAATGTTATTAGAAAAATTTTAATTATACATGCAACCCATCTACTTAACAGCTCTAGTTGAAAGTTCTGACTTCCCAGCTGACCACAATTTCTTTTAATAGGGTTAAATTTTATACTTCACCTCTGTAACCCTAGCTTCTAAGAAAACTTTTTGTACAGTTGACACTTATAATGATAATCCAACATGTGTTACTTCTTGAATTGTTTGTCTTATTCTATAAAGTTATGCTATAAGCAACGAGTCTATTTCTAGTATTACCTTGCCCTTATGGGCATGCAGCTAATTAAGGAGCACTTCAGTTACAACTTCCTAGTTTAAAAAAAAAGAAGTTCTGATCAGTTTATTATATTTATACCTAGCTCAATTTTCCCACTAAATATAATATTGCAGGGTTGAAGAAATGACTCAGTGGCTACGAGCACTGGCTGCTCTTGCAGAAGATCCAGGTTCAATTCCCAGCACCCACATGGATGCTAACAACGATTCATAACTCCAATTCCAGGGGATTCAGTGCTTTCTTTTGACCCCCACAAGTACTGCACAACATGGGCACACTTACATGCATGCAGGCAATATACTCACACACATTAAAAAATATAATTAAAAAAATAAATATAATATTTCATTTTTCTTTTTTTTTGTATTTAAAAAAAAAAAAAAAAACTGTATCAAGAATTATGCCAAGAACCAGAAAGAACTGTTTCAAGTTTAGCGCCAGCCTGATCTTACATAGTGACTTCTAGGTCAGCCAGTGTAGATAAGGAGACCATACTCAAAAAACAAAAACAAACAAACAAAAAAGCCAAAGAAACAAAACTCTCACCCGCCCCCACCTTTTACTGTGTGTAATATTAATAAAAAACCAATACTTAGATTTTGGTCACCGGCGTTCAAGTGAAGCCAACTGCTTGGGACTTGTAATATACACTAAAATTTTAACCACTCTTGGAATCTTAGCAATAGGCCTTTTTCTGCAGTGTTTGCCATTACATTTGAAAATACCAATTACAACATAATGTATTTTAGAATTTCAGTTGTCTTAAAAAGAAACACAATTTTAAAAAATTATATGCCCACCACATTAGTATAATAAAAATATTAGAAATACTTGATTTTGAAATAATTATAGATTCATAAGCAATTATAAAAGAAATGTAAGGAGAGGAATCCCATATGCCATGCATACTTCCCCACCTCCTCTTTTTTTTTTTTTTGAGACAGGGTCTGGTTATGTAGCCCAAGCTGGCCCTGAAGTCCTGGCTCAAGGAATGCTACTGAGTACCAAGTAGCTAGGACTACAGGCATGCATCCACAAGACTCAGCAACTCTTATATGTTAAAACACGTCTGTATTTTTTGACTATGCAATAAAAATAAAAAAGAAGTAGCATGCTAGCTAGTTACATTAAAATATCTTAGGAAAATATCAAAAGACTTTCTGTGAAAGGGAAAAACGTGACTTATGGTTCTTTTAAAGCTTCAAATGTCTTGTGTAAAAAAGAATATTTTTAAGTTTGAAAATTAAACCACAAAAATTCTAGTGGTACACACACACACACACACACACACAAATCTATACTTTGTGTTCTCTGAGTAAGGAAAATTATGTCTAAGGAACATATATTTTTATATGACACGAATTTTCAAAAGGCATAGCATTTTGCAATAAAAGTTATTTTATCTTAAGCCAGGCATGGTGGTACATGCCTTTAATACCAACACACAGGAGGCAGAGGCAAAAGCAGGGGGATGTCTGTGAGATCAAGGTCAGCCTTGTCTACACAGCAAGTTCCAGGCCAGCTGGGGCTACAGGGTCTCCCTGTCTCAAAAAACTAAAAAAAAAAAAAAAAAAAAAAAAAAAAGTAATCTTAAAGGACTAAAGGACTTTTGCCCTTTAACTTTTAATGTTTTAAACTAGAGTCCAAAAGATTGCACTGTTTGGATGTGCCAAAATTACTGCATGAAATATTCTGCGTTTTCTTATCTAAAATACCTTTAATTTAAATACTTACTCTGAACCTGCAGCCATTTCCAAGTATGACGTTTCTGTTGTATCAACCCCTAATGGGATCACTATGCTCATGACGTTCGCCTCTGGTAAATTCGATTACTATGGAGTCCTATGCATTGGTATCCAAAACACTGGGGCATGCCAGCCACAGTGCTCATTGCAAACATCTAAGTGCATCCACAAACCCTGTTTAAAAGAAATAGGAACAAAACAGTGTTAAGAAACATCTTAACTAGCAATAGTATAACAACAGTAAGTAAAATATGTGAAGAAAGCACTCTATTAAGATTACAATACAAGCCGGGTGTGGTGGCACATGCCTGTAATCCTAGCACTTGGGAGGCAGAGGCAGGGGGATCACTGTGAGTTCAAGGCCAGCCTGGTCTACATAGTGAGTCCCATGCCAGCTGGGCCTACAAGGAGACCCTGTCTCAAAAAAAAAATAAAAAAGATTACGAATGTGAGGTTGTTCACAGAGTATTTCATTTATTTTCTGGAATTGTGTTGCATGCTTATGATCAATAGAAAAGTTTCTGGGCTATTGCTCTTTGGGAGAGTGTGTACTTGGAATACATGCATGAGGTCCTGAATTTAATTCCAGCATAAGAAAGGAAAAAAAGAACTCTATGAATCACATGAAATTAGAATGCCACAAGAAGGATTATTAAGGCATATTATTCTGTGGATAATTGGCAAATACTCATGTTAAAAGTTAAAATTTTATTTTTTTAAATTTTATTTTATGTGTATGAGTGTACTGCCTGCATGTGTGTGTAAGTGCACCTGTGTCATGCAGAGTCCATGGAGGCCAGAAGAGGGCATCAGATCCCCTAGAACTGGAGTTACAGATGGTTGTTAGCTGCCATGTGGGTGTTTAAATTCGGACCTGGATCTTCTGCAGTAACAGTCTGTGCTCTTAACTACTAAGCCATCTCTCCAGTTCCAAACTGTAATTTCTTAAAGTACTAGTATCCAACGGTATTTTTACAAGTTAAGCTCTAAGTACTGTAATACACTGTCTGTATGAATAGTCTTATTTAATCCTCTTAATTCTGAGTAGAAATTCACATTTTTTCAGTGAGGTACATAAAACCAGGAAAGGCTAACTTCCAAGGTTACTCAGCTTAAAAAAAAATGACCAGAATTTAAGTCAATTCTACTCTACTGTTTATTTTATTTGTAATAAAAGCAACTGTTGCCAGGCATGGTGGTGCACGCCTTTAATCCCCAGCACTCGGGAGGCAGAGGCAGGTGGATCTCTGTGAGTTTGAGGCCAACCTGGTCTCTATAGTGAATCCAGGACCGCTGGGGTTACAGGGAGACCTTGTCTCAAAAAGACCAAAAAAAAAAAGCAACTGTTTATAGTGCCTGTCCTTTTCTCTAATGTATAAGTCTATTCATATGAAGATTTCTCTATTTCTTCAGTTAGTAAACTATTCCCTAATACAACTAGAGAAAACTTTTTAAAACATATTTACAATATTAACTATAAGATATTGAGCACCAATATCAAATTTTCAAATCTAAATTCACTCCATTACACTTGTTATATGTACTGTTTATAAAATATCTACTCAAAGTTTATTCAGTAACATAATACAACTTAGGAACAAAAGTCTTAATAAACTGGAAAACAGCAGTTTGTATTTTCCTTTTCCTTGTAATGTTACACCTGAAATAAAAAAGAGGAGTCTTTCTTCAAATAGTTCTTGTGTTTACCTTAATTTTTACAATTAAGCTTCAGCATTATCTACTCAGGCTAATTTCTATTTCACAGATGGTACAAATTGTGAGTTTATACTTTATGTCAAATAGGGGAAATGAGGTGTCAAAAGTGGTTTGAATTATATAAGGAAATTAGTCTGTACTTTTAAATCATGTTTAACTAGGAGAAAGTTACTAGATTTCAAATTATTGTAGTATAAAAATAATCAGGACATTAGATGCCTGTAATACAAGTTAAGTTGCTTAAGGGGTTGAATTGTTTCATCCTAGGAGCAGGGAGACCTGCATGGGAAACAGAGTATTTCAAAAAATTAAAAACTTTGGGGCCTGCCTCTTACCATTTAACTATATGTGTGAGACTAGGCAACTTATTTAATCTCTCTATGGATCAGGCTCCGTGTTTATAAAATAGGGCTTTATCTTCAGAGAGTTTCTGTGAAGAACATGATAACTGAATGTAGGGAATATATTTTGATTTATTTTCTTTTATGTGCATGAGTGTTTTGCCTGCATGTGCACCATATGGATAATATGCCCACAGAGGCCAGAAGAGGGTGTAAGACCTCTGAAACTGGAGTTTCAGACAGTTGTTTATCTCTATGTAGGTGCTGGGAATTGGAACTAGGTCCTTTGCAAGAGGCCATTTCTCTAGCCCCAGGAATGTAAAGGATTTCAAAGAAATCATTACATATATTTAACAACAATACATAGTACAGGCTGTGAATCCCTAGTGGAAAACTGAAATTGGAATGCTGTGAAATATATTCAAGACTTCCAATTTTTGTACTGGGGATGCTCAATTTGTAAATATTCAAAAATCTGAAATGAATCCAAAGCCTGAAGGACTTTTGGTCTCAAGCCATTTCAGATAAGAGACAACCTATAAACACAACTGAGAACTGCTCTTACTCCATCACAAAATACTGTACAGAGAGACAGTCATTCTCATTTAAAAAGTCTTCTAATATCTATTGACAGTAAAGTCATTACGGTTTTCTACTTGCCATGTTTTCTAATTTGCTTCACAAATTAAAGACCCTCCTAAAGACAATTAAAGCAGAACAAAAGGAAACATATACCTTCTCTTCTGTATCTCAGACCTTATTAGAGTTATTTCACAATGCAGTATTTATTAACTAATGAAATAAATTATAAAATTCTATGTGGCAAAATGCAAGCAATATACAGAAGTGAGTCTGCTCTATTGAAAAGCTGTATTCTGTATTTCCTTAAAATGATAAAGACTTGAACCTACCAACAGGCAATAAACTACAATTTAAAAAACAATCTTCTTTGCGCAAACTCAGCTTATCTTTGCATTAGACGTATAGGAAGTCTTGAATTTCAGGTATATGTTAAATTTAGTTGTACAATTATTTACCAGAGTCAAGACCTGGAAACCAGAAATCCAGTCATTATGTATACTTTTAAATTAACTAAGTAATATTTCTAATCTAAAATGATGTATTTAAATATATAATAGTATGCTCTTTTTATGTAAATATACAGTCCTCACTAAATACCCCTTAGCTGTTTTAATAGTAATGAAAGTAAGTAAACAAATAATAATGAAGAACTTGTAAAAACTTCTAAGCCGATCTCAGGCAATGGTCTATATCTGTATCCCAAACCCTATACTGTGCCTGGAATATAATGGTACTCTACAAAGAGTTGGTGAATGAATCAGAGCACCTGAGATGAAATTGCAGCTCTGGCCTCCTGAGAATTACCCTATACAGCAAGAGCTACAAAAACAACATGTAAAAATGACACATGTAAAAATGTGTCTCTCTAAAAGCAGAAACTTGGGGCTCAGCAGTTAACAGCACTGACTGCTCTTGCAGAGAACCCGGGTTCAATTCTCAGCACCCACATGACGGCTACGGACCATCCTTAACTCCAGTTCCAAGGGAATCCAAAGCCCTCTTCTGACCTCCGTAGCACTGCACGAACAGAACTACTGGCTCCCAGCTTCATTCAAAAGAAAAGATCTCAGCAATTTCCTTATTCACATGTGATCAAGAGACAAGAGGCCCTACTACTGAGACCATAAAATAAAAAAAATTTCAGTACTTCCATTAGTATCAAAAATTGTAGCCGGAAAATTCATACTGCTGAAAAATCCAGTTAATAAAAAAATATAAACTCACTGGGTCAAATAATTAAATCTAAAAATAATTTTTAAGAAAGGAAAAGCAGCAGAGTGTGGTTATATATGCCTTAATCCTAGCAGAGGTAGACAGATCTCTGTGAAATTGAGGCCAGCCTGGTCTACAAAGTGAGTTCCAAACCAGCCAAGGCTATATATAGTGAGGCCCTGTCTGAAAAAAACAAAACAAAACACTGCCACCAACAACAAAAAGAATGAAAAGGCAAGCTGGGTGTGATTTCTTACACCTGTAATTCAAGTGCTCAGGAGGCTGAAGGAGGAATAAACTATTCCAAGTCCCAGGCTAGCCTGGGCTACAGAGAAAGACCTTGTCTCAAACAACAACAAAACAAAACACACATACACAAAAAGATAAGTGGGAGTGTAGTGTCAATTTCAGCACACAGGAGGCTTAGGCAAGAGCATTATGAGTTTGGGCCTGCTTGAGTTTTACATGAGTTCAAAGCCTGCCTGGACTACAACAGTGAGATCTTGTCTTAAAAAAACCAAAGGCTAGGAGCTAGAGAGATGGCTCAGCAGTTAAGAGTACTGGCTGCTCTTGCGGAGGATCCAGATTTGGTTCCTTAACACCCACATGGTGGCTCCAAAAATGACTGCAACTCTAGTTTCAAGGGATCCAAAGCCCTCTTCCGGCCTCTACAGGTACTGCATGCATGTGGTGCACTTAATATCCATGCAGTCAAAATAGGCACATATATAAAATAAATTTTTTGTTAAATTAAAGGAAACAAAACAACACAAAACAAAAACAAGGGCTAGAGATGTATAGCACATTTGCCTAACATGTGCAAGGTTCTGAATTCAACTACCAGCATTAAAAAAAAGAAAGAAAAAAAATCAATGTAGTAAGCAGAAGTCATCTTACATTTAGGTAGAAATAAAGTGAAAAATTTAACACAATCAAAACAATTACTCCAAACTTTCACACATGAGTTAAAAAAAACCTGGTCATCCAACTGCAAGTCAGATATATACAAAATATATGGAGAACAAATAGCAGCCATTAAATAATAATATAAAAGGAAATACCATGAGATGTCTGGGAAATCTGAGGTCCAAGAAAGAATAAATGTCTTCACAAAACCTGATATCCAGAATAGACCTAGAAACCAAGTGAACATAGGTGTGTTGAGCTAACTTTAAATGACATAAATCTAGGTACGTCTGACTAACATGATATCCTAAAACAAAAGGACTAACACAAAGAGAGCAGTGAACACAAAGTAAAGTTAATTCTTTTGGCGGGGAGGAATCTTTTTGAGACGGGTCTTTACAGACAGCTAGCTTGAGGTCTTGAGAGATGGCTCAGCAGTTAAGAGCACTAGCTGCTCTTGCAAAGGACCTGGGTTCAATTCCCAGCATCTACATGGTGGCTAACAACCATCCCTAACTCCAGTTCCAGGGGCTCTGATGCCTTCTTCTGGCCTCCTTGGGCATTGTACAACGTGGGTGTACTTACATGCATGCAAGCAAAACACCCAAACATAAAATAAATTCAAAAATCTTTTAAAGAGTGCTTACTGCTGAACCTGAGTTCAGTTCCCAGCACCCGTATGGTGTCTCACAACCACCTGTAACTCCAGTTCCAGGGGATCTGATGCCCTCTTCTGATCTCCATGGGCTCCTGCATGCACATGATGTACATACATACATTCAAGCACACACATAAACGTAAAACACTTTTTTTAAAAAAAAAGGCTAGCCTGGGGACTAGAGAGATAGCTCAGCAGTTAAGAGCACTGGCTGTTCTTGCAGATGATCCAAGTATGGTTCCCAGCACCCACATGATAGCCAACAGCCATCTGTAACGCCAGTTCCAGGAAATCCAATACCCTCTTCTGGCCTCTGCCGGCATTGCATGAACTTGATGCACTTACATACATGCAGGCAAAACACTTATACATATAAAATAAAAAGAAGAAGATATAAAGTTAGCCTGAGCTGGGTGTGGTGTCACATGCCTTTAATCCCAGCACTTGAAAGGCAGAGGCAGGCAGACTTCTGTGAGTTCAAGGCCAGCTTGGTCTAGATAGTGAGTTCCAGGTCAGCTGGGATTACAAGGGAGACCTTGCCTCAAAAAGACAAAAAAACAAAACAAACAAAAAACAAGCTAGCCTGAACTATAGTGTGAGACTTTGTCAACAAAAAAAAAAAGGGGGGGGGGATGCTAAAGAGATGACTCTGAAGTTAAGAGCATATACTGCTCCTGCAGAGAACCTGAGTCCCAGCTCCAGTATCAGGCAGCTAATAACTGCATGTAACTCCAGAACTCCAGCTCCAAGACAATCTAATGCCTCTGGCCTCCTCGGGTATCTGAATACATATGCACATACCCACAGACATACACATAATTATAAATAAATTTAAAATAAAAAAATCCAGTCCTGAAAGATTGTGAAATTTCATTTACATAAATTTAAAATAATAAAGTATAGAAACAGAACAGATAAGTAGGGGGAGGTGAGAAGTCAGCACAGTTATATAAGAGGCAATACACACATACACATAAAATAAAAATAAATATAAAATATAAAAAAAAATAAAGTGAATACTGTCAACCAAAAAACTAAGAAGACTGAGGTTGTTTTTAAGACCATACCAAAGGGCAAATGGCTAGGTACTGTAGCTCAGTAGAGTGCTTGCTTAGCAGGAAGGAAATCCTGGGTTTGGTCTCCAGCATTAACACCGCCAGGAGTGGTGTCACATGCCTGTAATTTCAGCATTCAGGACTGGGCTACAGAGAAGAGACTGGTTACTGATGCCTGTCGATGGGTATGGTAAGCACCTGTACCTCATTTTCTTATCTCTATGGCTAAAAAGGATGGTGGAAAAATGTCTAGATCTGCATAGCCTCCCAACTATCAGTTAAGATACAAGAAAAGAGGCTGGAAAGATGGCTTAGCAGTTTTGCTGTTCTTAAAGAAGACTGGAGTTCAGCTCACAACTGCCACTAACTCCAGCTCCAGGAGATTGAAAGTCCTCTTCTTGTGCAGTACACACACACAACACACACACACACACACACACCACCACCACCACCACCACCACCACCACCACCCCTTAGACCTAACACTCAGAAGGCAGAGGCAGACAGATCCCTGAGATCAAAAGATCTCATATGGAGTTCCAGATCAGCTGAGGCTACATGGAGACCCTGTCTCCAAAAGACCAAAAATAAATAAT